GTACAAAAATTGCCCACAATCCACGTTAAGCCCCTAAACCGGTACTAATTACCCCATGGACAAGTCTAATAATACCCAAAGTACTAGGTAGGGTTTAGGAAGTCACTTACCTAAGTTTGGCTCGGTAAAAGTCGGCTCGGGCCTAAAATGGCCCGAGTGAACAGTGTCTCACTCGGCGCGGGCAAGGGCGCGACGGGCGCAAGGGCTCGGCCATGGGCACGACCCTCGGCCACGGGCACAAGGCCCGGCCACGGGGCTCGGCCACGGGCACACGCATGGGCACGAGCGCGGGCACGGGCGCGGAACGGGCACGGGCGCAAGCAACGGGCACGAGGCACGGGCACGGGCGACGGGCGCGCGGCTTGGTCGCGTGGGCGACGAGCCGGCCTGACACTGGGTTTGGCCGGCCTGGGCCGCGTTGGCTGGTCTGGGGGACTGCGCGCGGCAGCGACGGCGGCGGCCGCGACCGGCGATGAGCTGGACTGACAAGAAGGGAGGAGGGGAAGAAGGCGGGCCGAGGTGGGGAGGGGCGAAGGTGAGAGACAGAGAGAGAGAGAGAAAGAAGTCAGGGGGTGGCGGGGCTCGGCCGGGCGGGGCGGGCTGTCGCCGTCGCCGGGCGACGGGCGGCGAGCTCTTGGCGGCCCGGCGAGCCGAGCTCGCGGCGGTGGGACGAACGGCAAGCTCGGGCTGCGAGTTGGGGCGGAGGACAGAGAGAAAGAGAGAGCAGTCGGTTGGGGCGGTGGCCGGCGGACGGTGAGGCGGCGGGACGGACGGCGAGCTCGGTCGGCGATCGCGCGGCGTCCGGCGGGCTCGAGCAGAAAACGAACCAGAACCAGACGCCCCGAAGAAGAAGAAGAAGAATAAGAAGAAGAGAGAAAAGGAGGAGAGAGGAGAGAGGGGTGTCGGGGGAGTTGGTCGCATGCGGGGGAGAAGGGACGTGTATGGGAATGCACGGCAGAGGGGGAAAAGAGAGAGAGAGAGAGAGAGAGAAACGTGCGCGGGGAGGGGACGGGCGGCGCGGCAGGAGGAGAGAGGAGAGAGAAAGAGAGAGAAAAAGTTAATATTTATCCTCGAGTGCGAATCAACGGACACGGTTCAAACTAAATATCGATTTAACGGTCGCGATTCAAATATTAAATGCAATCCGATGACCCAAATTCAAAACCGAAAGCGATCTACCGGTCCAAAATAAGCCTCGCATATAAAAAGGGATAAAGGCCGAATTAATTAAATCAAACTATAGCGAGGGGGTCTACTAGTCCAAATTCGCACCCGGTCAAAAACTCCTATTTTTCCATTGTTCCTGACAATCTCAACGCTGGCTACGATAATATTGACACCGTCCAATTTATTTTGTCCCGAAACTCCCGGAAATTGACTGCCAAGTTCGGGGTCTAAATAACGGCCAAATCCGATCGAGTGCGATTCTAGCAAAATTTCTATTTTTAAAAACAAGAACCCAAGAGTGATCAGTTCCCGGGCGAAATTCTATTATAAGCGCACTGACGAATTACACGTTTTATAAACCCCAAAAATGGGCCAAAATCCGGAATGTCACACCAAAAGTCCATGTTTTGGGCTAAAGTTCAGGGACTACGTTGAATAAATTAAAAGTTTATGGACCACATTGCATATTGAATTAAAGTTCAGTGACCATATGTGTCATTTTCTCAAAAAAGAAAGAAGTCGCTTTATGCAGACTAGTGTCATCAAGTGATGAACTAATTGCACTTTTATATGTCGTATAAATAGATTGGGTTAATACCACAAAAAATTCCAAACTGGTACACCTATGACAAGTTTACTCCAAATTAATATTTTGACCACCAAAAATCCCAAACTGATACATTTGTGACAAATTTACCCTCTATTAAATTGGATTAATATCACGAAAAATCACAAATTGGTACACCTATGACAAATGGAGGGTAAAAGCCCAAACTAGTACATCCGTTAACTCTCATGTGTCATCCGATTCAGAAATTTGACAGTAAAATTTTATAAAAACTAGTAGAAGGTAAAATTGTCACAAGTGCACCAGTTTGGGATTTTTAGTGGTCAAAAAATTAATTTAGAGTAAATTTGTCACAAGTGTATCGATTTGGGGTTTTTCATTGTATTAACCCAAATAGATTTTTCCCTATATTTCATGTTCCTTTTTTTTTCACACTAATTCAATACATCACATGTCAAATCTAGTGTTTGTCTCATGTCATCAATGAAGGGCCTGTTTGGTTCAGCATTCAAATGCTGCTTTGGGGCTCTAAAGGCCCTTGGGCAAATGCAAACTTGTTTGGCAATTTCTTTTGCAAGCTTTGAGGAGATGCAATTGCATCTCCAAAGCTTCCTAAGGGCCTTTGGCTAAATGGAGGGTTGAAGGAGCATTGGGGAAGTAGCATTTTCGGAATGCAAGTGGCACTGTTCATTCCGCTACTGTTCATCGCGCCCAAGGAGCCACACCGGAGGCCGCCTGAGGGGTCCGGCGACCGCCGCCTGGGGGTCGGCCGACCTCCGGCGGCCCGGCCCCCAGAGCGGTGGTCGCCGGAGGTCGGCCGACCCCCAGGCGGCGGTCGCCGACCCTCAGCGGCGCTCGGGTCGCGCGACCCGAGCACCGCCCGAGGTCGGCGGATCCAAGGCGGGCGGTCGCCGAGGTCGGGCGACCCCCCGAGGGCGGCGGTCGCGGAGGTCGCCCGACCCCCAGTGCGCGATCCCGCGAGAGTCGAGCTTGACCCCGGCGACCACTGCCTGGGTCGCCCGGCCTCGAGGCGGCGCTCGGAGTCGCGACCCGGGATCTGATCGCGCGACCCAATGCCGGCTGCGTGAGGTCGGGCGACCCGAGCGGTGGTCGCGGGGTCGGGCGACCCCGAGTGCGGTGGTCGCCGGAGGTCGGCCGACCTCGGCGAGGGTGTGGCGGCGGCGAGATCTGGCCGCCGGAGGTTTGTCCGGCGGCCGTTTTGGCCCTGCCGGACAATGTCATCCGGACGATCGCCGGCAGTCTTGGTTCGAGCCAAAAAAATTTTTAAAAAAATATTAGCAAAAGTCCTTTACAAAATTAAGATTTTACCAAACGGTATTTAGACCAAAGTTGTTTTCAAATGTGATTTTAAAAGACACGTTACCAAACACTACTTGCATTTCGGAAAACCCCTTTAACTCAAAGGTATTTGCATTTTGCCAAATGCATTCCCCCAAAGCCGAACCAAACAGGCCCGAAGTATCCATGGTGAACTAAAAATTGCCATGCTTACACTAAATTATTGATCAAGGTAAAACAATTAAGAACTTATGCCTCAAAGGTATGAGGTCGCAAGCGCCTTTGGGATTTGGTCCCGAGATAAACGACAGGTGATCCATTTTTGCAAAGATTAAAATGGCAATTCTAAGTAAGCAGTTGTCATTCATCCTTCTATGTGCCACTTGGAGATAAAAGACTAAACGATAGCATTCGGTACACAATTAGTTAGGCTTAATCAGTGATGCCATACATGTCTTGTGATTGTTGGGAGAGAGTTCGCATAAATGAATCATCACTCGATCTACTTTTCCAAAGGAAGTGATAAGGTTTTCATAAATGCAAGATATTCCATGATGTGCAAAAACTACTTAAGGTATAAAATAAGTCCTGAGTTTGAGCCCGTAAAAGAAATCCAATTCAATTAGGTTTCCTAATTTGAGTGGATTTTCTAATTTAAGTAGGTATCCAGTATTGGGTCCAAATCTTCTCTTTATATGTAAGAACCGAGTCTTCTTTCTTGAATTGTATCCAAGAGGCCGCTTATTCGTGAATACATCTGAAGTAATCCAAGAGTGTTAAGGCCAATTAAATTTTGTGTGAGAGATCTTGTGCAATCTTTTGTAAGGTTGAGAGATTGTTTTGTGAGAAATTGAGAGGGTTAAATAATGTGTGAGTTATTGGAGGTAATTTGAAACTGGAAAACATCGAGATTGCCTGCTTGACTGTATGGGAATCCTATGCTGCTCTCCCCTTGGAGTAGGGCCCATTGACCGAACTATGTAAATCCAGTGTCTAATTTATTTTTTTTGTTTAATTTACTTTATTGTTCGATTACTTTTCTTGGCAATAATTGGTTTTAGATCTAGTCTTGGCTAACTTGAAGAGAATCGAGGAAAAGTGAAAATTGACAGAATTTGATGGGAAGCATTTTTGTTTTTGAAAGATGTAGACGGAGAATATCTACACAAGAGAAATATGCACTTACCTTTGTTGCGACCCTCTTGTCCATCGACACGGGTAAAATGACTAGGTTTGAGGTAATGCCCAAAAGGAGGGGAGGGGGGTCAACGGCCCTCAATTAAGAGCATGCTTTCTTAAGCCCTTACCTTGTGCGAGAAGTTGAGTACGTTGGTTACGATCACCGGAGACTTAGGCATGTGCACTGGGGTCATGGGCTAGGCTTTTAGGGACTTGGCACAGTGTTCGTGGACTTGGGTTTGGCTGCCAAGAAACTGGGTTCAGCCTCAATGGCTCTGGGCCCGGGCGCTAGTGACTTAGACACAGGAGCCGAGTATTCGTGCAAAGCTGGTGAGGATACGGGTAAGGCACTGATGTCTTGAGCCTAGCCTCGTGCCCGGCTGCTGAGGATCCGACATTCAGAGGAGTCTACATTACCATGCCCTAGCTCCGAGGTCTCTGGTCTAACTGTCGATGTGTAGTGGTATATTGGAAAATGATTACTAATTTTTAAAAGTAGAAATCCTTCTCCTGAATTTAAGAATACATTTTCCATAAATTACAAAAACTTTTTCTGTTGACTTATTTTCTCAAACAATTCAACTATAGAAAAATAGGAAATTTTTTTTCTCTTAGATTGGTTTATGCCAGAAGATTCAGTGCGGAGCCAAGACGAGGCCTTACTTCATTGCCAATACGACCGAGTTAAATCCATGATCGACAAAACCTGCACCTCTAAATTTGCAGCAGGGCACCTCTTTATTTTCCCACATTTTTACCCGTCTCGTTCCACTGCATACTTCTCAGATTCAGCAAAACTTATTCTTCGCAACGATGCCGATGAAGTTAAGATGGTAAACAGGCGTAAAGTTCGAAGGAATTTGAAACCAAAATCTTATTTGCACCTATTCGTCCTAATCAATTACAGTTGAGGACAAATAGGGCGGAATCATGAGAATCCACCATTGCTGCTACTGTGTCATTCATCGGTTGGATGTAGTCGGTGTCCGTCCATATTTCTTTGCCTGTACAAGAAGTGACGCTCCAACCGGGAAGACCCTTGGCCAGGTCGGAGACATGCGCGGCTATCACCATGTCTTCTTGATTTAGGTTGAAAAAGGCTAGATATATTTCTCCTGCATTGACGTAAGAACAAAACTGAGCCAAGAAAAAAGGTCTAAAAATGCTCATACTTGCTCAAGTAGATTGTTTGGCAAAGATATCAAGATCTGCTGTGATTAGGCCTCGGACCATTTGTTTGAAACTGGAATACACTGCAATTTGTTCTGCTTTAAAAAGTGTCTACATCCAAATTATGCAAGAGGAGGAGTGGGGTAAAAATCAAACCTGATCTTCCAGTTGCGATCCAGGAGCGAATTCCTGCATCAACATCATTAGCTGCACAAACAATGTGGCCGTAAATAAGTCGTACAAAACATTTAATTTCTGGTGTATGAGATCAGGATCTCGTTTTATAACCTTCGACTTTTTTCATTATCGCGCATTGTCCAGAATAGCTGCTTATCAGTGTCCCGTTACTGTGAAACTCCCACATCTGTCAAAATTAAACATTCCTTATGTTATTTTCCCCATGAATCTAAGCCAAATGATGAATTCTAGTTCGAAGACAAAAATTATAGTGGTATGGAATATTGCAATAACATAATTTACTTGATAATATCAACAGGTTCCAAAAATGCAGTACAGGAGTTTTCTAATTGGGTCTCAAGTTTGTCTTCTATGCTGATCTTCAACTAATAATAACACATACCTGATTAGCATTCCATGTGCAGCGCGAAAATGAGCCTCTTGTAAACTCACTAGACGTGATTTTGCGTCTTGGAGAAGCATTTAAGCAGAAGTCCGCATTTTCAGAAGCTAATGAGGGAAGTGTTCCCAGATATTGGCTCCCGTACGTTATCTCTTTGTCTCTGTTTCACAGCACAAGCATATATCAACACTTTCTGCTATGAACTATTACAGTACAGGGAATAGCAAATGGAAAAGAGTAGAAGTAGGAGAGAGCTTTTTTACGATTTGACCGAAGAATTTCTGTTGTATAGACAAAAAGGTTCTCCATGTCTACCCTCCATGTTCTTTTTCCAGCAGATCCGTTCCAAATCTTGGTCCAGTTCTTCGACCAGCCATCCGCTTGCTTTTGGATCTTTGCAACTAGTCAGACCCACAACCTCTACCACTGACTCTTCCATTCTTGTCGGGTACATTCTAGACCGCTCGTAATTTCTACCACTTGGACCTGCCCCACTGATATATGGGAACTGTAAAATTTATCCACGTAAGTAGCCTAAAAGTGCTTCAAAATGTTTTGCATTTATCAGATGTTAAGACAGGGTACATGCCTCCACATTGTTTGAGCTGTAGGAATTTATCTCAAGCAGAGTAGGATTGGTGATTAGACTGAAAGTTGTATCATCAATGTTCTTCAAATCTCCACCAAACATGAGGGGGGACTTGGCGATCGACCACAAAGTCACCTACAAGTATAATCAGTTAGCTTGAAATATGATTATCTGATTGGGGCAAACAGTGAAGTCACAAAAAATCCTCATCAAACACATACCTGAGTTCTTTGCTCCTTTATGGTAAGCCTACATGTCCTATGAGGGCCTTCATTTGAACCTAGTTGTTGATAGAGTTTTCACTTTAGCAATACATCATTCCATCTACTTTTCCAAAGACATTGACAAGGAGTTCACATATGCAAGATAATTTGGAAACTGCAAAAGTGACATACAGAAGGAACCACAGCCAACCACAACCGCGAGGTATCAAACTACCCATCTGCCGCATTCCAGGTGCACAACTTGACAATAAGGAAGGTTTATCATGAGCTGTAATTTTGTGCTAGAGCACATAAAATTAGCTTGCACAGGCTACGGTGAGAATTCATTCTTCATGTGCGACCCGGACAGAGTCCACAATGTTGAAACCCCAAAGGAGCAGTCAAGGTATAACCTTCGAGGGCAAGGCCTTACCAGTTACCATCACATCAAAGCCTCTCTCTGGCTCCTTGTGGACATTAGGTTTTACAACATCACAAGATTAGCATGTTAATTACTTTGTTCTGACAATCCAAAGCGAACTGCTAGCACCTGCACTAGTCAGTGGAATCTCTCGGCTCCTCATGCAACAGCATTCAGAACCATTTGCAGGCAACATTAATTCGATAGAGTGCTAAGGCCGCTAAAACAGCTTTATACCCACTTATTAGTCCAGCCATTCCCCCGGTGGTATGATGGAGCAACAGACCTTCAAGTTTATCGGAGAATAAGACAAGCCCATTGTTATTACCTGGATCAGTGAGATATCCCAGTGGTAGCATATCAAGGTCAGGCCATGATGTACCCAACAGGCCACTGGAACCGATCATTTTAGCAGCGGCGAAGTCCCTGATGAACAATAATTATCAGATTATTAATGGGTGATCTAAGTCCATGACTTTTGAGCTCGACTGTCACACATTAAATCACCTCGTCACATCAAAATGTGCCACAACATGTTCCCATACATCCCAATCATCCCCAGTAATTCTGTACATGTTGCTCAATCCACTCACAGCCTTTGCCATATCTGGCGTCGCACTAGTTCCAGGAGACAGAGAATACAGAATGGGACGGTCAAGCTCCTTTAGAACCTGTGCAAGGCCACACCAGATATTGGACCAGTTTCAGTTTTCATTTGCAAAAAGGACTGTGTTGAGTAGGTGAATAAAAGATAAAGAGCCATCATATCGCACCTCGGAGATGTAGGTGATCTCATTTATATTCAGATCGTTACCAAATACACAGTCATTTTTTACTGCATCAAAATGATAAACAAATAGTATTAAAGATAGTGACTGAAGTGATTCAAAATTAAGTTAATCTATAGTCAGTTATTTAGTTATATCATTGTTTGAAACTAATTGAAGAAGTTTATATTTAAAAGGTTACTGCGGAAGTAAAAATACACAGAAATTACCGTCACTCACTGAAATCAACGCCCCACGATGCATATTGCTGATAAAGCGACCTCAAGAAAGCTTTTCCAGCTCCTAAGTCAGTATTTACACTCATAAATCCAAGTTGCATCCAAGCACAAGTCTTTTCCGTAAGCCCTATATCTTGTGCATGCCAAACCCGACCGGACTCTTCATATGCACGTCCCTAGTAGAGAAACAGAGTAGAAGTAAAAAGTAATTTCAGAGAAATTGAGGGTCGCTTAACACTCTTCCTAAGACTGTGGCATCAGATCAGTCATTTAAATCGTTTGATGAAAGTGAACATAAATAGTGTAAAGTAACTCACTCAAATGAGGAATTTCAACACCAACGAGAAAATTTCCGGTCAATCTTGTCTAAAAGAAGGCTTTGTTCAACAAGGAGAAAAATCAGCAGATGAAAGTGTAGAGTAATACGAACAAACCGTGGTGGTATCCAGAATAGGAGAGCTAGCATAGACAGCTTGCGTGCTTATTCCTCTCATGACATGTATCCCGAACTTCAGTCCCATGCTATGGACTTTACTTGCAACCTCGGTGAACCCTTTCCCACCACTAGACGAAGGCCATCGATCTGGGTCAGGGATCATCCTTCCCCATTCATCAATCACATCAAATCCCAGAGAATCGGTGCCAACGCCTGGCACTTTTCTTCGGTACCAAAGGTAGTCCACAACTACATACTGCATATTTTGGAGTGAGGAGGCAAAGAAGGATGAAAAAGAAAATGCTTTAGTTTCACTAAGTATACAATTCTATCCGTGAAATGTTACAGTAGTATGGATATAACCTCATATCCATGAGCATGTAGCTTCTGGGATAGGATCTCGGCATTTTGCAGAAACTCTTCTTCGGAGATGATCCAGGAATAGGAATCATAAGAATTCCAACCTCTTGGCGGGGTGCTAGCACGCTCTTCAGACGAGACACTGAAAAATTGAAGTTAGTCTTACAACTTGCTCCACCTAATTAGAACTCCTGAATTCTTCACATGTTGCTCATGAAATTTGCAACCCCAATGAATTAACATCTGAGTCGGAAAGTGATTGCAATATACACACGCAGATTCCAACCAACGTCACTGTATAAGTTAGCGTTTTTACGCACGGACATTACTATGTTGTCAAAATACATCAAAGCATTAATTTTGCTGGAGACATCCAAGCCCATCTTTGTTATAGTCACCATTATTCGAGTAAAATAACAATTACAGAATACAAAACACAGAAATTGTAATCTATGTAAAGCAATTCACAACAAAAAAATTACAAAAAAAGGTGTATGTTGACTCTGATAATTCACTGATTAGCCCATCCTCCGTCTCACAATCACCACACTGGACTCAAAATGCAAAGTCCAAGACCAACCGAAGTCATCATAAACCAACAGAGACATAAACGAATCAGTTTCCCAAGATCACCCGGAACTCACAAGGAACTCACCCCAATCAGTTTTGGATTGTTTCTCCAAAAATTTCACACACGCGTCGACCATGGCCTATCATATCTCCATCATTACAGAGTATAAGTCAACAAAAAGAGCCACCATAGCTAATTAGGTAAGTCGGTAACTTGCATTACCACACGAAAAACGCAACGATTCTCGTCACCATATAGTCATGCATTAAGAAAAAAAGACAAAATCTGATTCGAGTTCGCAGTGAACAAGCACACGAGTAAGGCGAATGTGATTCGAGCTTCACCTGACAATGAGGAGGAAGAAGAAGAAGAAGAGAGAGAAGGAAGTGAGGGAAATGGAGAGGGAGAGCTTCATCGCCGAGCGCGCTGACCGTTGGTTTTGAACTGAAATGCAAGAAAGAAAAGAGAGAAGGCCTTGTTTGGAATTACGCATACAGAGAACAGTAGGAGTACGTGGATATATATATATATATATATATCTATCTACCTGGGTTGATATGAGAATAGATTATTGACTGAGTAATGAGTAAGAAAATCGTCCAATTATGGTAGGCTAATTTGAGATTGACTCATGTGGAAACTCGAATGTGATTTTGCTAATGAGATTTATAATTTTTTGAGTTGGAAGTTTTCTTAAGAAATAAATTTTCTTTGCAATCGAAATTTAGATTATTACCCATTTGATCCTCTACTTAATTATTCTTTCTTATTTCAGTGAGTGTTTCCTTCTTCTGTTGATATTTAATTGGTAAATTGAATCCATGTATCCTGCTGAGTAATGAACATGGCCAATAAATACCTGCTGAGTGTTTTTTTTCCTCATTTGTTGTTTACAAAATTCATGGTTGCAAAAAAAGTAGAACATAATTTTGAGGATAGCCTGTGTATTATAGTTAGCAATTAAAGATAACACATTCACGATTATCCAACGTTTTATTGTCATTAGATCAATGAGATATCATTTTCAATAATTATAAATTTATCAATTAAAGATAGAGTCTAAATTTACATTATGTAAATTGAGGGGCCAATACTTTATTTAAACATTACTCAATTACGTTGAAACATATTTTGTCACGATACGATATGAATTATTAACATGATCATGACACACAAACATGAATTGTGAGCTCTAAATGAGGGTGATGCTTTTCTGGTTAAGGGTGATTGATTCCCAGTTCGGTTCGATTTTGATTCCAGTTCAATGGAACCGGTCACTTATTTAACATGAAGATGAAATTAAAAAAGAAAAAAAGGTGAGAGATTTTGGCTTTTCTCCGGCAAAAAGAAAGGGGCTCAACCAATCAATCAGAGAAATCTTCCATACTTTTCTTAGGCAAATTTCAGCCAGCATGATCAAATGATTTAATTCCTCCAGACTATGTAAAAAGGGGCAACAAATGTGGCAGTGATCGAAAGGGGAAGCAAACAAGATTGTCTCCATTTTATTTTGGCAACAAATTGGCAAGGGAATCTGGTCATGAGAGAAAGAGCATACATAAAGGGAAATTCTCTTTGGAAGATGATGGGAAATGTGACATCCTGAAATTTGTCCATTTGGGATTTATGAAATATGAACGTGCTCGTAGTTAGTTCTCACCCGGAACTGATCATTCCTGGGATATTAACCATTAGGGAAAGGCTAATTAGGAATTTAAATTCGTCCGACTAAAGAAAATTCGATCGTGAATTGATTTTCGACCATAAAATCGTCAAGGTGACATTTTGAGCCACTGTTGGCCGATCCAAGGATAGCTAGGGGTCAGTTTGCCACTGTCATAGTAGTGGATCGCGGGTGATTCCGCAGGACCACGAAATGAATTGACGGATGATCCTGAACCTATACCAAACGATCGTGCCCCTCGGATCTAGCGGTCAATCTCGCGATTTAAAGGACAACCGAAGTCGTCACGAACCGAATGGACTTGCACGTGACTCGATTTATTATCAGTCATGGGTCGAATATGCGAATTTTCCCAAAAAGCCGCCTGTTAGTATGAGAAATGCTCGAGTTACGTTTAATAAAATTTAATTATTTATTTGAACCCAATTTGGACATCGGAAAATTAGGAAGTCACAACGGGGAGTTAGGACGACGTTGTAGTTGGAACGTGCAGCTTTAGATTTCCCCGAATCCTTCAGGAAAATTCAATTTCAGCAAGAAATGAGGCAAGTGACCGTTTTATCCCTAGGAGTTTGTTAAGGGCAAGTTTTAAGAGGGAAGGGCATTTTGGTAATTTTTCCCTAACTTTTGAGTTGGACAATTTTGCCCTTGGAATTTTATGAAATTCCCAAATTGCCCTTGGATATTTTGGGAAAGATTCGATCTCGGCCGTCGGTTTCAAGATAAGATCGAATCCGAGCCGTCGATTTGGATTGTGAGAGAGGGGCATGATCGTCATTTTGGCCTCTAAATTATTTGTTTGACCATTAAAAGACCAAGACCATTCTCTCTCTCCTCATTCTCCCTCTCTCTCCTTCGGCTCCCTCCCCTCCCCTCACCGCCGACCGTCTCCTCCCCTCGCCGAGCAGCCAATCACCGTCCACCGCCCGCCGTGCCGCGCCGTGCCACCGCCGAGCCACCAGCCCCTCACGCCGCCGTCCCTTTTCTCTCTCTCCCTTCCGCTCGTGTGGCCGTGAGCCGAGGCAAGGAAGCCGCCGCCGCCGCACGCCGCCAAGCCGCACTGCCGATCGCCACCGTCCCCGCCGCTTTCCGCTCTAGCCGCGTTAGTCTAGAGTTTTGGTAAGTCGCGCCCTAAACCCTATTTAGGACGTCGGGTATCGACGGACAAAATTAGGAGCGAAATCGGGTTTATTTAGATGTGGATTGATATAGTTTTTGAGGCGGAATCGAATAGCGGACCTTAGGATTGAAATCGGAAGATTTTGGTGGATTTTTAGAGGCCGATCGATGGCTGGAAATTGCTGTTCTGAGTGCTGTGATGTGCTGTTTGGTGTGTGGTTAGCGCCATTAGATCCGGCTCGGAATTTCGTGAAAATGTCGTGCAGAGCCAGAACTGATTTGTCGCGGTTTTGATATGGAAAAATGCCAGTTTGTATGTTGATTGTGCGTTTGAACTGTGGTTGAATTGTGGTGATGAAATTGGGTGCATTAGTGTGCAATTGACTGTTGAAATATACTTGATTATGTGTACGCTCGGGCCGAATTGAATTAATTGTCAATTGGCCGTATTAAATGCTTATTGAGCATGAGAATTGGGTGTGAATTGATGCGTGCACGGGCCGCGTGTGATTGGCCAATTTAGTGACAAGTGAATGTTGGGCTTGTGAATGACTAAGAAATTGTGTGTGGTGTGGCATACGTGATTGTGGAAATCCCTGAGGCGATACCGTTATGCGGGGAATTGTGCCGTCCTGAGGCGTGTACTTTAACGCGGGGACGATGTCCGGTATTACCGGAAGACTGCCAACCTGAGGCGTGTACTTCAACGCGGGTTGTGCCGTAGGTGGTAGGTGTTGAGCCTGAGGCGTGTACTATAACGCGGGCAAGAGACATGGCCTGAGGCGTGTACTGTAACGCGGCCCTGGAGTGTTGTGATGAGTTGGTCGCAGTGGACCTGAGGCGTGTACTGTAACGCGGGTCACTGGCGAGTGGTGTGGAAAAGATGTGATGAAATAGGAACGTATGCGTGAAATGAGATTTGAACATGCATGTGATTGCATATGATGTGGTTGTGACTAACGTGCAGGTTGCACGCAGAATAGGCCCAGGTAAAAATAAATGATGTGCCTGTTGTGTGATGGTTGGGTGTGTGATTGTGTTTGGTGATTGTCTGGAGGTACGTGATAGCCTAGGTGGGGTTTAGGGGTGTACTTACTGAGATGTAATCTCATGGTTGTTTCAACCAATATTTCAGAAACCCGGCCTGATCAATGAATCCTCCGCCACCGCCACCTGAGCGATTTGGAGTACCGATGCACACCGAGCATAATGTTGTAGAGTTTCCGATAGATGACCATATGACCTGGATTAAGCACACAACCGTAGTTTTCGTAGATATGGGATTACCCCTATGGCAGGCCCATACATATACCGCGTGGTTCTTCCGAGACGGGGTAGATGAGTTCGGTCCCGTTCGAGGATTTGACGTCCCCTTTGATGGAGTTGGGGACTGGGACCCGTCTGCTATACCTCCTCTTGATGGCGAATTGACTAGTGTGGAGACTAGTCTGGCGCAGTCTGGACTGCAGCCAGCGCCTGCAGCATCGGGGTCTTCAGGGGCTGAACACGAGCCGGAGCCGGAAGAGTCTCTAGCGGGAGACGATCCAATGGACGTAGATCTTGAAGCGATCCCTGAAGAAGAACTACAAGAGGAAGAACCCGAGGCTGAGCCTGAGGATGAGCCTGCTGAGTTCGCAGAGCCTGAAGAGGAACCGGAGTATATACTCTCGTATGAACAGTGGATGGACCCCGAGTTCATACCTGAGGATGATTTCCTTGAGGAGCCGGTCGAGGAGGAGCAGGACGAGGTTCCAGCTGAGTCGGGTGATATAAACCACCCAATCGAGATTGAGGCCGAGCCGGAGTCCTCGGAGGAGCAGACTGTTCAGGGAGACTTAGATTCAGATGACGAGGAGTCGAACTCAAAGTGGACGCCAAGCAGAGGGCGTAGGGGCTAGCGTAGGGGTTGGAAATAGGTTTTTGGAGGTGTACTATTTTTGAAGATAGGATACCCAGGTCATCGATCCTTTTTGAATATCGGTGGTTTTATAGTACGGTGTGCATATGCATATGGCGGTTGTAAATTATGAATATTATATAAGTTTGGTAATAAGAAATGAATATGTGTATTCTCCCTGATTTTCCCAGTTTTAATTGTCCGGGTATTTTGTGGTTTCCGCTGATGATATTAAACCTCTGATAATTATAAGTGAGGTCGGCGATACCCTGGGATGTCGCATTAATTGACCGGAGAAGGGTGTCGTGCGCTCGATGGGGTTCGGGGTGTGACAGGAAAGGTCGGTTAACGGGGGAGGAGTAAAAGGAAAATATGAATGAAAATAAAGAGGGTGAGAGATTTAAAACACTAATGGGAGCGAAGCAAATCAGTGAGATCATTCATGCTGCTCTGTACCCTTGATTTTTTGAAGAAATAATATATATACAGTCCGGTCCGGTTCCCTCTTGGAACTTAGAACTGAACAAAACACTAGTTCTTCTTTTAGGAATTAAGAACCGAATTGGCACTCCAAGGAACTGGACCCAACCTACTGGTTCGATCCGATTGGTCCGTCTTACTCACCTCTATTTCTGGTGGGACCTTTGATTTTTTTCACCCTCCAAATCTTCACCTATATTTTCTATAGCCATTCCAAATACGGTTTTTGCACTTC